CGCAATGAAGCAGGCTGGTGTAGGTGACGGTAGCAGGGAAGATGTGCTGCACAGCTGGAGCATCTGAAAGTTGTAGGAGTGCCTGGGCACAGGTGCTGTCACCTGTGGATGCTGAGTCCATGTTGTTACCACTTCTCTTAGCTGCACTAAGTGAATAAAACTAGTAAAGGGTTGCCAGTGTGCACTGGAGTCACATTTTCATTTTGTTGGATAGAAATCCATTTTATTAAATTCAGATCTCACCTGGGTCTTTGTTTTGAACTCCCTGTCTGCCTATTTACTTCCTGTTAAGTATGACTCATGCTCTGGACTGAATATCAAGCAGTTAAGATACAGTGCAACTACCTGGTCGTGTGTGGGCTGGGACCACAGGTACGTGACAAAACACTGGCTGTCACAGAGAAAAGAGCACAACAAAAACTGCATTAGTGAACAAGGCCGTGAGGAAGTAATGCTCGAGGGAAAAGAGATCTGCTGAGGGAAAATGATGGTGTCAGTTCCCTCTGTGTTGGGAGCAATACAAAGGAATGTAGGTGATAAACTTGGCAGGGTTTTTTCATGTATCTGAAGCACATGTTTATTCTCCTCTCAAGTATCCTAACAGCTCACTTAGCGATGCCGACTCTCAAATAACATTATTGTTAATAGCAGTGTTTTGTAAGTGTCAGACTAAAATCTACGTGTATCAGGGCGAGAGATGGAAGGAGGAGGGAAAATAATTGAGAATGTTGTTGTCAGCTGAGATGAAGGCATCTATTATCAGTCTCTCAACACTGGCAGATGTGCAGAGGGAAGCAAATGGATATTGATTACATTTGGGTCCGCGTATGATTCATGTGTTCCTCTTGGGTGGGAAGAGATTAGTCTAAAATTCATGTAACGTATGCAGCAGCATTTGTTTCTTTGATAGACTCTCCTGTTGTCTGTTTTTGTGGGGTTGGGAATCTATATTGACTTTAACAAGCTCATGTCCTTGCACGTGCACATATTAACCACTCGGTAAAGTGTTTAATGTTGGTTTTTTTCCTCCTTATTTCATTTTTTGGTCGCATGCTTGCTTGCTCTGCCTGATCAAGAGGTTGGTAGACCCTGGATGCTGTCGCAGTTGTTTTGATGCTTTTCAGTGGCAGATGCTTAGTTCTGCGTATAAACACGCTGTTAGGACTCTGCTCAGCTCACCTGCGTGCTTGCCATCAGGCATTGTACGGTGGCTTTGGCTTTCAGCTGCTGAGAGATCCTTTCCCAAGGACAGCAGCATTGTAACTGCTGACAAATTGGAGTTGTAGTGAAAGCAGTAGTCTAAGGCTGGCTAGAAATAGCAGGTCTGAATAGCATCTGAATCATATCTGAATGTCAGGCTCAGAATTAGATACGAGTCCAAGTCTTTAAAACTATGTTTGTACTTTTGCTTCCCAGGCTGGACTTAATCTCTAATACAGAAGATCATTAAGCTTCCCTTCTCACCTTTCTTCTCCTGTTTTTCTTGAATGAAATGTTTGATGCTACTCTCCTCTCTCAACAATGTGTAGCATGGAAGGAATATGCAAGTGTCTCCACTGGCACGGATATTTGCTCAGAACTCCACGAAATTGCTGCTTTTATTAATGCCAGTGTAACTCATGCATCGACTTTTGCTTTGAAAAGATCAGTGCACAGCATTGCAATTGCATTTTTAAGGTTCAGAGTTTTTTTTATCACATCCACTCCCCCTTTCTAGTGGCTCTCACAGAGCTAACAGATGGGAGATGCTCTCACAGCTCATTGTCCTTCTCCAGGAGTGATCTGGATCCTACAGTAACTCCTTAGCAACTTGTTAATCAGCTCTAAATTTCACCCAGTTTTCTGTGAGCAGTGTTTGTTATTGTTTAATACCAGGAGAATCCTGAACTGTTTGTTATTGTTTAGTACCACAAGAATCCTGAACTGCTTAATGAGCCAAGACTGTCCTGAAGTAAATGTGACTTTTGGGTGACTTAAAAATCTAGTCCCAGTTTTACTTCTCTCATCCAGTGGTGATTGCAATTTGATTTTTGGCCACATAAATACATTACAGATCATGTGCTCCTAACCCATGAGCATGATGTTCTGAAGTTTAAAAATGTTCTTGTCTATAATACAGCGTGCGTAAAATAAACAAGATTTCAATGCAGTCTTTATATTAAATGTTAACACATTTAATTTTATTGTAGCCCCTCGAGTGACACAGTTGGGAGGAAATTCTTGTGAAATAACCTGGGAAACGGTCCCACCCATGAAGGGAGATCCTGTTGGTTACGTTCTACAGGTACTGGTTGGAAGAGAATCTGAATACAAGCAGGTAGGAAAATGGTCTCATTTTAATATTGCAAAATTGATGACATAATCATAGAATCATAGAATGGCTTGGGTTGGAAAGGACCTTAAAGTTCCAACCCCTCTGCTGTGGACAGGGCTGCCAACCACTAGATCAGGCTGTCCAGGGCCCCATCCAACCTCTGCCCTTCAGTGCCTCCAGGGAGAGGACATCCACAGCTTCTCTGGGCAACCTATGCCAGTGCCTCACCACTCTCTGGGTGAAAAATTTCCTCCTAATATCTAACCTAAATCTCCTCTCTCTTAATTTAAAACCATTTCCCCTTGTCGTATCACTATCTGCCCATGTCAAAAGTCACTCTCCCTCCTGTTTCTGAGTTCCCTTCAGGTACTGGAAGGCTGCAATGAGATCTCCCCAGAGCCTTCTCTTCTCCAAGCTAAACAAGCCCATCTCCCTCAACTTTTCTTCCTAAGAGAGGTGCTCCAGCCCTCTGATCATCTTCCTGGCTCTCCTCTAGACCTGCTTCAACAACTCTACATCTTTCTTGTGGAAATGAAAATAATTTCTTGTATAATGGAAATGTTTTTGAACATTTGCTCTGCTGCTTCTGTCTACTGTATTGAATTACGCCCTACGGTGATGCGTCATGAACTTTGGTAAAGGTTGAGTCGAAATTAAGGGCTGTAATAGGTTGTTTTCTCCCCAGAGGGAGTATATAGAACATCATTATCTTATTGGAGTGATTTGCTCTCTGCCCGTAGTTAATCACTATTTCTTACTGAACTAACCTTTGCAAAGTTACAGTTCTGTCCACCCATGCTCTCTTCTGAACTTGCTGGTCCTAACTGTTGTCTGAAGATGAGATGATGTAGTAGGTAGAGTATCTTCCTCATTCACTAAGCCAATTCCAAGACCTTCCATCCAGGATTTCAGTCAAGTAGACTTACTTCTCATTGGTTTGTTCAGCCATCCCATTCCTGTCTAAGGTTTGATGCATGGATGTGCAACTGCTGTGGATCAGCTGCCCCACAGAGACTCTGTCCGTTCTTGCACTGTAGAAGCAAAGTGAGTGAAGTACGGCTGATCCTTCTTTCCTTGTCTGTCTTGATTAGACATCAGAAGTGGACATTTCCCCAGAGCACCTGAAACAAAACATCTCATTCACAGCTCGATCTTTTATTTCATCTATCACACCTCTGACTCTGTGATTTATGGTGCACTTTGTGCCCTGTCTTCAACCTGTCCTTTTTTTCAGTTGTCATACAGATTCCGAGTAAGTCCGAATTAGGGAATGAGATATCTTAACCCTTAAATAATTTTTTTTACATGTGTCATACTTAAAAAGGTAGTACTTTGCGGCTGTCTTTGCTTCTTTTCTGTCTATTTTGGAGTGTTACCGTGAATTAATGAATTATCAAAAGTAACATAAATAAATGCAAGACAATTAATGTGCTAAAGATTCAGCAACCTAATTATTATTTTTGTCAGGAAACATTTTTGGTGCTGGTATAGCTAATAAAACTTCCGTGGACTGTGCTGGCCTGATAATGTTAGTGGTAAGTGGATAAGTGGACCCATTTTGCTGTTGCCTGATTTACAACGTAGCCTTGATGTACAACCTCCACGTACAGCTTTAGTCAGCATAGATTCAGCACTTAAAATGTTCTGGATCTCCTTGGGGAGAATTGGGCATGGCTTCCTGCTCCTTTTAGGTAGGTGATGGCTTAATATTTGCAATCAAGAAACCTGTGGTATGAAAAAGTCCAGCAATAAAGGAAATAAAAAGTACCTTCAGGGTCTTAGGTTGCAAGTTTTCTTTTCTCATGAAGCATGACCCTGCTGAGGAGTGTTTTGCTTCAGTTTTCACAAGTGACTCACTAAAAGAAGCTCCTGGCTGGGATGCTCAAAGCTGACACTGTGACTTCTGTAGTTGGGCTGGCTGATAACCAGCCATGGAAAAGAGGGAGAGTTCTGCTGGTTTGTGGTCTCCAAAATCAGTTTCAAAACCCATCAAAATTATTTATCTTCCATCGCAAACGTGGTTGTCATTTGTGCACTGGAGCACATCGCTGACTTAGTGTCCATCAGCTGCAGTCGCTGTGCACACATGCTCTTAGCTCCTGTTATGTGAATAGGAGATAAAATATATAAAGGTCACTTAGTAATTTCACTCTACCTTTGCTGTGGCATGCCTGTGATCACTTGCTACTCTTTAGCTGAAATGTAATTTTAGTGATATGTTAATTACATTTCAAGTGCAAGTCCTAAATTTACATTTAAATCTGTTTTTTTCCCCTGCAAGTGACATACATATTTTGCATATGTATCTCAGGGGGGCATGTTATACTAGAAGAGTTTTGCAAATTGTTTTACAGAATTGCACAAATGAGAAATATTGCAGATTTTCAGGCTATTAAATACACCCTTGAGAAAGTGTCTGAAGTGACTGGAGTTTCTATAGCAGTCGCCAGTGCATTTTGCAAGAACCAGGGACAGTATAGCTGGGTAAGAAGGAGAAAAATAGTTGCATGAAATATATATTTTTTTTTAATGTCCCACTGGCATGGAAATAAATGCAACAAATACCTATTTCAGGTTATTCATGGGCTACACAGGACTTCATATCACACGTAGGGTCACTCATCCTAAGATGTTTTAACCTCCATTCACCCTCCGGCACACAGTTGTCTCTGTTCTGTGACATGTTTTACACCAGCCCAAACACAGATGAGAAGAGTTTCACAGAATAAAAATTCACTTTTTAAATTACCTTAAAATTGAAACTTTTCAGCTAACGAATGTATAAAGCTGTTTCTCTCTTACAAGTCTGTAATCCTGTCAATAGATCACTTTATTTGCAGCAATTTAAAGGCAACTATTTAAGGCAAGACCTTGAACAAGTCTAGGAAGACATGTAACAAATCCATGGAGCCACATCTCATCTCCCTGCCTGCTCCCAGTTGATTTACTTCATGTGAATACAGCTGATGGGTGACCAAAACCACTTTACTCATTTTATCTTAAAGCCCTAATTCTTGCTTTCATTGTTTAAATCATAAAATCATAGAATGGTTTGGGTTGGAAGGGACCTTAAAGATCATCCAGTTCCAATCCCCCTGCCATCAGCAGGGACACCTTCCACTAGACCAGGTTGCTCAAAGCCTCATCCAACCTGGCCTTCAACACTTCCAGGGAGGAGCAGCCACAGCTTCTCTGGGCAACCTGGGACAGTGTCTCACCACCCTCACAGGAAAGAATTTCTTCCTCAGATCTCATCTCAATCTCCCCTCTTCCAATTTAAAGCCATTACCCCTCGTCCTATTACTACCTGCCCTGGTGTTAGAAGTGACTATGCACGGCAGAAATCGAGATGATGACACTTGTCAATCTATTTTTTGTATAGGGAGAATGATTGGTATTTGTATGTGTGTGTGTTTCTGCCCCAGAAAACTTTACAAAGGTAGTGTTGGACTGGCAGATATATTAGGAAGATGACAATATGCCTTTTGTGATACTGGCTTAGCGTTCATACTATGTATGAATTTTTTTAAACTGGTGTAATAATGTTTTATTAACAAGAATGTTGTGTGATTTACGCAGTAGATTCTGGTCTTTTCATCCAAATAAAAGCTTGGAAAAGGAAGATCCTATAATTGTGAAAACTGAGCTAGAACTTTTTAATGATGATTGTGTTTGACTTTTCAAGATGCAGCTATGTCCCATGACTATGTGGAGAACAGTTGTGCAGGAACAATATTGCACACAGAACATCACGGTGTCAAGCACAGTGTCTCCCTGGACTCAGTATGAAAGCTCACACAAATCCTTCCTCAGGCAGCACAGATGTGACACTCCTTTCCTATTTCTGGGAAAATTTGACATTACAGATCTCAATCCAACTCTTTGCTAGGAAGCCCGCAGAGTGTGATGCAAAAAGCAATGGCATTGTGACGTTACAGTTCTTTTTAGGAAATCAAATTTTCCTCGTTTATGAATCAGGATGTAAGTGACGGCAGATACATTTATCAGTGGCCCAGGTCTGGTTTTCTCTTTCTTTCCTGGTTTCATCTAGCAAAGCTTACTCAGTTAGAACTTACCTTTTAAGTGTGTTAAAATTGTCCCTAGCTTTGTGTAATTTTAATCTGGGGCTCAGGGAGCCGGCTGGGCTGCGCAGCGCAGCAGCTGAAGCTTGGGATAACAGTCGGAACACCCAGCAGCCTGAGTTTGAGTTTCCCAATTGAGCAACTCTGGGTATTGAATCACCAAGGAGCCAGCTCTTCATAAGAGCTGTCCGTGGGAAATCAGAGCTGAGTTTTAAAGCTTCTTTATCCTTAAATTGTTTGCCAGTGAGGCAAAATGTTCTACCTTTGAAATTTCTGATAATTTGGAGGCCGTGGTGGTTCATCAGCTTCTACCACATCTCTTCTGGGAGAAAACTACCCCCAAAAGCTTTCTAAAAGAAGAAAAGATGCTAGTTAGGGTATTCTGGGTGTGTAAAAATCCCCCAGCAACGCAGTGGGAAGCCTGCTGGAGTCTGCACCAAGAGCTGGACATCTGGGAGAACCTGGTTGGTTTTACCAAGCTCTATTTTTTAAAAATTTTTTTTTACTTTTTTCAGACTCTGTAGACACAAAATCTCTGAAATGCATTCAGTGCACTGTTAATTTGTGTAAATCAGAAAAAAAATTGGTTTTCCTTCTCTATTTTAAATAGTAAGTGAAAGGCATTTGTACTGGTTGGATGCCAAAATACAGCATAATTGTCCAGTACGCATTGGCGTGCATTATTGGTGCTGCTTGCAGCGAGTATTTTCTCTGCCTCCTGATGCCAATTTTGTGTCATGGGACAGAGCAAATAATTCCCTTTCATTAAGAGTTTTTCAGTGCAACCCACCTCACAGAAGGTGACCCAAGAGACTGTGGTTTGCTTTGTTTAGGAGACAAGACTGTCCACACAACTCTAAAGGGTTTGTGAGCATCTCAGCAGTGGAGTGAGGGGAGCTGGTTTTGAGTCTGGATTAAATAATAAACTCATACAGTTTCTTAAAGAGAAATCTGTCAGGTGACTTAGGAAAAAATAAACCTTTCCAATGGACATGCTTTCTAAATAGATTGAAACCTGCCTCTGAATCTTGAGCTTCTTATAACCATATAAAATAGGCTTTTATTTGTTATTAAATACACTGGTTATCACAGTGGAGTGCAACAGCCAGGTAAGGGTATCTTACACTTCCCAATGTGTCACTTGTAGGACAATTGTGGCTGTTACTTTTATTATTTGGAAAAGATGGAGAGGGTTTGGGATTACTTAATGACATGGGTGAAATTGAGAAATACTTGCCTACAGGAATTCTCTGAGCTGACTGGCTTGATCAATAGGATCAATTGCCATAAGAGGCTTCAGCAGCAGTTTATTACTTGTGATGATATTTTCATTGAAGGAACCAGGCAAAAAGCTCATCATGTTTTTTATTAGATTCTCAGGTACCTAAACAGAAAAGCTGTTTTAGGAACTGAAAGCAATAAATGGGTTAGCCGCTTCCCTTTGACTTGTTGGCCACCAAAGCATAATGTGCTACATATAAAGAAGTTCACTGCTTTGTACAGTCATATTTGGTCTAATGTTTGTTTAGCAAATATAAAGACCTTATACATAATTGTCAAATTATTTTTTCCCCTCTCTGTTCTGTATGTGAAGTCCACTCACAAAGTGTAACTCTGATCATAACCAAGCATCTGTCTTTGTGCTGAGGACATCCTGTATTGGCTCAGCCTGGTCCTAGTGCAGACAAAACTGCGCTGGAGCCAGTAGTGGAGTGAATAATAATTAAGCACAATAATATTTTACCTGTTACTGAGAAAACAAATAGATCTCCTGGTGCTAAATACTCATGGAACCACCGAAAGGAGGAAAATTTCCACCACCTTTCTAGCTGTAGTCCAGGAAATGTTTTGTCTTTATCATTAATGAATATTAATTCATGTATTCTGTGTATTTTTGGCTATTTTTCAAACATTAACAATCTGCTCTTCTCTCACTTGACTGTCTGACCTTTTTCTGAGAAGTGCTGTTGACTAGATGGCTTGACTGAACTTGGTCATCTATATTTATTAGACTGTAATGAAGATACAGGTCTTTGATTTAGCCAAACTTAGCCTCCAGTTACACTGGTATTCACCACCTGGACAGAACAAAACAAGTAAAAAACCAATTAACTGGACAGGTTTTTCAGTGCAAAAACAAGTTATATGTATCCCATCCCTAGTATCTGTTAAATGTAATTTGTGAAGATTAGATAGTAAAAATTTTATTAAATGTCATTATTTGGGTCTCACTGGATTTTTACTTTGTTTTAGAAGTGGTCATATTGGTTGCAAAAATTCATTTATGGCAAAGGCATGTGGAGCTCCTCAGATTATACATTTTGAAAGGAAATTAATAATTACAACAGCACCAGAAAACATACCTTCCTTACAGCTGTTTTGAAGGGTAGATGCTTTGTTGTGTTAGCATGCCTCAGAGTCTAAAGAAATGGGTGTTGGGTAAGTCCTCCAAGTAAAAGAATCCTGGCTGGTCCCTTGGAAGATCACATCCTTTTTTAATTACTTGCGGAGCTTATATTTACGTGCCAAATGCATGCAACTTTTCTTTGCATGATGGGAGGATTTCAGAGTAAACTGAAGTGTTAACCACCTACAAGATGTAGCATTGATGATGGAGTAGGTAGAGGACAGTTGCACACAGCAAGTGGGTGTTAGAAATTGAATTGCCATTGGAAAATGGAGTGGCAGAGACGTTCTTGGTGGGATGTACCCTCTGCAAACAGATGTTTCAGCCTTCACGTTATTTCTCTGGACCTCAACAGCACTTGCAGTTTTATTTTCCCTGCAATTACTGTGTTGCTGTAACTTCCTGACTCGCTTCTCACTGGTGTTGAGAAGACAAAAGAAAGCCAACAGTGCATAGCTGTGGTTAATCAGAGAGATTTACAGTATGAATTTGTTGTATCCCTGTCACTTGAGCTACAGTGAACTTCTCATGAATGCTGAGCGTACCTGAGGAAGGTAAAATAATTTTGTTTAAACATTGCTTCTTGATTTCTGCCTCGGGGCCAAGAAACATGAGCCAGTTAGAGGGCTTCTACTTAGTCTGGAAAATCAGAGTCACCATTGTTCAAACTGTATTTGGAAAAACTGTAAAAGTTAAAAGGGGAGAGAATGAATGAAAGAAAAACCTTAATCTTTTGTCCCAGACCTTCTCAAGAAATCAGTGACGGGCTTTTTAGCTGGGGGATGAGTGTCAGGGGCAAGCATGGGCAGGAAGGTTGGGCTCTTTAAGTGATATTTAGCTGAACATGTCTCTTCTTTTTCCTCCTGTATTTCTTACTCCAGAGTAATGCACAGAACATCTTCTGTCGACTCAGGTTTAATTTCCCTCTTGTTACCCTTTTCTAAGTTGAGTTCTTGCCTCCAGGAGGGCAGCGATGCTCTCAGCCTTCCACTCCCACAGAGAGGAGAAGGAAACCAGCTCAATGAGCAAAGGAAGAGACATCTGAAGTTCAGGGTTTCATTTTTTTTTTCCAGCAGACACAGGCACTTTGTGACATGTTTTTCATTTCATAAAATACCAATTTCAACAACTCTCCTTTATATAAATTGTTGACTGGTTATTTGTTTTCAAAGTTGGTAAATGCTTCCATTGGTCTTTTTTTTTTTTTCCATTTAAGTCACAAAACTCTCTCTTAGATATTCAGTTCTCTCTCTTCTTTCTCATATTGTGACTCATGCTCTCTGAGTCATACGGTACCTACATTTGATTAACATAAATACATGATGGGTTTGGATTGCTAAAGAAACAGCTACAATGCAGCCGAGAGGAGCTGTTTTACACTTTAATAATATTTTATTGTTTCCACAATTCTGAAAGTGTAATTTCTGTCAAAATCGCTGACTCTTGAGAGAAGTGTGAGGAAAGTACATTAAAATCATATCTGTAAGCAATTTTATGATTATACAGTGAATGTTTTCCAATAACCTTAGATTGCAGATTTTCTTCCTTTTGGGGCCAAACACGGTGCTTATGTCTTAGACAGATTTCAGGCATATAGTCACATTTTAAGAGTACACAAATACGTTTGTACTATTTATCACAGCCACAAAAGATGAGTCCATCTTATGGTTGATATATTGTCTGAGGTCTTACCTGTCCTTGTGTGCATTGACTCTGTTGAACGCTCTGAGACTTCCCATGGTTGGGCGTCTCTTAGATAGACTTCCGCATGCCTCTACTTTTACAAAACCTGCATTGGCCTAGGGTGTTCTTCCTCGAGACCTGCAGTGTTGTTTCCTTACAAGACTCAGCCTTGACCTAACTTTCTGGCCCAAATCCTTGCGAAATCTACCATGATTACATTTTTAAATTGATTGATGCTATGAAAGGAGCAGGCCAACCGTATCCTGGGCTGCATCAGGAGAAGTGTGTCCAGCAGGTCGAGGGAGGTGATTCTCCCTCTCTAGTCCGCTCTTGTAAGGCCCCACCTGGAGTACTGTGTTCCAGTTCTGGAGCCCCCAACACAAGAGAGACCTGGAGCAGCTGGAACAAGTCCAGAGAAGGGCCACCAGGATGATCCGAGGGCTGGAGCACCTCTCCTATGAAGACAGGCTGAAAGATTGGGGGCTGTTCAGCCTTACCTTCCAATACCTGAAGGGGGCCTACAAGAAAGCTGGGGAAGGACTTTTCATAAGGGCAGTTAATGACAAAACAAGGGGAAATGGGTTTAAACTGAAAGAGGGGAGGTTTAGATTAGATATTAGGAAGAAGTTCTTCACTGTGAGGGTGGTGAGACACTGGAACAGGTTACCCAAGGAAGTTGTGGCTGCTCCTCCCTGGAAGTGTTCAAGGCCAGGCTGGATGAGGCTTTGAGCAACCTGGTCTAGTGGAAGGTGTCCCTGCTGATGGCAGGGGGTTGGAACTGGATGATCTTTAAGGTCCCTTCCAACCCAAACCAGTCTGTGATTCTATGATTCTATGAGGTTGTTTTGCTCTTTGTATTTGACTGTGCTTGTTGTCTTGTTTTGAAGGTGTACAAGGGAGAAGAGACCACATTCCACATCTCAGGCCTTCAAGTCAACACAGACTATCGGTTTCGCGTCTGCGTCTGCCGCCGGTGCTTGGATACCTCACAGGAACTTAGTGGACCTTTCAGCCCATCTGTTGCCTTTATGCTTCAGCGAAACGAGATCATGCTTGCAGGAGAAATGGGAAGCATAGATGATCCTAAGATAAAGAGGATCATTCCTACTGATGAACAGTTTGCAGCCCTCATTGTTCTTGGCTTTGCAAGTTTGTCAATTATATTCGCCTGTATATTACAATACTTCTTTATGAAGTAGAGAATTCAATGGAAGTTTGAGATACAAATTTAACTAATGCTACGCATTATAATCCACACATTTATTCAGATATTCCTTTTTTTTGAAATCCTTTTGTTCTACCATACATTTTATATACTTCTCTTGTTTTTACAGTTCTAGCTTGAAGAAAGATAAATCAGTGTTTTGATGCACCTTTTTGAAATTCAAAACTAGGAAGTGGTTAAACTGGAGAAACAAGCAAACCAGATACCAAAAGAAAGAATTTTATTTTTTTTTTCCTTCACGGTTTCAAAATTGTCACCAATTTGCCTTTTCAACATTATTTTGGGGTTTTTTTTCACTGAAGATCTTGCAGTCTCTTATTTTATCTTACTATTTAGGAAATTTTAATAATGATTCACTTTTTTTGTCTCTTCTTTTTCCTCCTAAACATTAGTCACAGGTGTGTAGAGTGGTAAGACTAGAATACAGTGTTAGTCAACAGCACCAGGTTTTCCTTGAACAGTATTAGCAGTGTTGCCTATGAATTACTCACTACATTTGCCCCAGGTTTTGGTTTTTTTTTCAAGATAAAACATAAGTTGTTATTTTAACTGTTTAGTGCATTTAAATCAGAACAATATCCTGCAGTTGAAAAAACTTTTTAATTATCTGTTATTTTTACAGTTACAACACTATAAACTGCCTGTATAAGAACTCAAATAACCAAACTGCGTATAAATTATGAAGCATTATAGATTTTTTTTTTACCATTTTGATTCCTAGCAGTAATTTTAAGTAAGAGGGCATTGTGCAATAGTTAGTTATTCCCATGTTCAGCTATTTAAAAGCTGCTTTAACTTGTCTGTTTGTCACTGTATATAACTATTCCTAATCTAATACTAGATATTATTCTATTACGTGCAGCCTGATTTATATGATTAGAGCTGGTGACAGCTTACTGCCTCTGCTGAATTAGGTGAGATTTACACTCAATGGAAGCAAACTTTGTCAGTTGATCTTTTTTTTAGTATTATTATTATTAATTTTTTTTTTTTTTTGGAGGGGTATCCATTTTATGGAATTTTTTTGGAGGTATCAAAAATGAACTCTGTTTATTTTAAATACCATCCAGGGTGTCTGTGCTATTCTTACCCAAGGGCTAATTGAAATAACTTGGTACATGGCAAAATTCAGATGAGAATCTTGCTCTGATGGGAATGTCCCCCCTCCTCCTGCCTGCCCCTTCCGAGAACACACGTTTTAATCCATCAAGATAACTAGAATTTTAACTCTTCAGTCATTGGATTATTTATATTAAGTCAACATTGTGCGAGTACCTCAGGGACACAAATGAGCTGGAGGTGCAAATAGATTCCAAAAGGGTGCAACAGACACAGTGTATTTCCCTGCCTCTTGTTTTTGTATATTTTTGCTACTTGGTTTTGCTTTTGTCCTAGCTATTTTGTGCTCTGTCTCCATTGTCTAAGATTCAGTGTCCTGTACTAGCATCATAGTCCCTTAACCAAAGTAATGGGGAAAAAAAAAAAAAACAACATTATTTTTGTTTTAGGTTTATTTATACTATATACTGCATACAGTACTTTAAATACCAATTACAGTGCAATCTTTTATTTATTGTAAAAAAAAAATAAAAATAAAAAATAAAAAGTGTACTTATGTACTAATCCCCTTCTCCACCCTCCCTGTAGCATGTTATATTTTGTCTGTTTTATACTGTTGTACTTTAGGTCAACTTTTTACCTGGCAGCATTCCTAGTGTTATTAATCTTCTTACATTTTCTTGTGTTTTTGAAGATGGGAGCATCTAGTACATTAAATGCCAAAAAAAAAAAACCATTATCAGTGATTCAAACGTTTACATGTATCCAAAAACATAATCATCTCTGGAAAGAAAGTGCTAAGATCAATGAATTATTCTGTGTGCCTCTCTAGATGTAGCAAATATTAGAAATGTTCTGTATTTTGTTATTGACTATAATTAGTTTAATTTAGCCTTGCAAACTAATGGCATTGAGCTAAATATATATATTTTTTTGTTTTTTTGCCAAAGTCATGGCTCGTCAAATTTATTTACATCTTATTTAAATTTATTTGTGATATGAAACTTTGTGACCTTGCATCTGTATTTTGTGAGCAAAGCATATATAGCTGTCTTCAATGGAGGGGAAAAAAGAGTGTATTTTTTAAAACAATGAAAAGACCGCTAGTTTGGAAACCCAGAAATTTGAATAGATTCCCTTTTTTTATTTTTTTGGAATATTGTTTCAGCAGTGCTGCTATGAAATCCAAGCTTGACACCTTTTTTTTTAAAAAAAAAAAAACTGCTTTAATGAAAAAAAGAAAAAGGAAAAAAAAAACCCCACCTTGCTTTAGATGATTTGACAGATTTTGAAATACAAATGATACTAAGAGCAGGAGCGCAGAGAAAAGGAATCAGTTACACTTGAAGCTTTTCTGTCATTGCTAATTTGTTTGCTGTCCCTTATAATCACGCTAACGAGAGCGCCCAGTCCAACCCTGAGGTTATCAAAGTATTCTGCAGGAGTTGGGACAGGCCTTAAAAAAAGTTCATCTGTCATTCTTTTAGTTTGTATATTCTGCCATAGTGATTTGATTGTCATTCATTGATTAACAGAAAAACTAGAGCATCACAGATCTGAAACCATTCCTGGTCTGATTCCCGTTACTGCTGACCCAGCCGTGGATTTTCCGATGGGGATTTACCCCCCTTGATCCAGCCAAGGTAGAATCTGAATCCAACCCGAGGGCTCTCTGCTCTCCAAGGCAACAACAACAACAACAACAACAAGGTAGAATGAAACACTAAATATTTAAAACCCTTAAGGATGGAGAGAGAAGTTTTTAGATTGTTCTGCCTTTTTCTGTATGAACTTGAAATGTTTTCTAATCCTGTTTGTCGGCTACAGTAGCTCAGTATTCAGTGTCATGATTGATAAGTGCCCTAACTGAATGTGTATGAACCTGATCCTTGCACAGTTCTTTAAATTGAAAAATATAAAATGTTTTTACCTCACTATGGGAACATACATTCCAAGCTTTTCAACTTAAAAAAAAAAAAAATAATCATAAGTTTTCTTGTATTGTAAATTTTAGACTATTTCATATGCATTGTATTAAAACTGCCATATCAATTTTAATGTATAGATTTTGCAAATACTACACTATGTATGTAAGACTTAACTGTATCTGTAGTGTATATGTAATATATTTATGCCCAATAAATGTTTTAATTCTTTCTGATATTACCAGGAGTTTTCTTAATTGAATCCAGCCCTTTCTAGCAGGTCCGTGGTGTTGCCGCAGCCTGAAGCAGGATCCCAATTTAACTGGGGATATTTCTGGTTTGTAACTGGAATGATGGTGTGTTATTTGGGAAGTGTTTGCTGGTGCAGTTCAGGAGTTTATGGTGTCATTTGTTCTTAGACTGAGCTAAATACGTTGCAGATTGTTAGTCCACCCCCTGGAAGGGTGAAGTTCAGCCAGGCTGTTACCTGTACAAAAGCTGCTGATGAGCAACAAGCTTATAGAAATGATCTTAAAGTCAGTTTTCTGTGGTGTTTTCATCACTTATTTGAAGTAGCTTGTGTGAAAATTTAAGGATGGTAAAAAAAAATACCTATATTTGTTATCTCTTTGTCGTGAAACCTTGAAATATCAGAATTTTCCACTTGTTAATTATGTGCAATAAATTCAATTACTCATAAAGAATTAATCTATGTTTACATGTTTCTTGGCAAACACATTAATGTTTGTTTCTAAACGGCTTTTCTTCTTCAGATCACTGCATAAATACAATGTTTTATTTGTTTGCTTTTTTAATTACTGCAGTTTGCAACATGAGTAGGTTTTTCCTAAGGAAATACAGGAGTTTTTTTCACTGAGGTTGCTCAGTTGTTGGGGGGGGGATTGATTTATTTATTTAAACAATGCTTGCTAAAACAATCTCTCTTTAACAGACTCTTTTAAAGATGTCTATGGAATAGTAATCACTGCTTTGGTATCTGAAGTGATCTTTTATTGTCAGTAGTCCTTGGCTTGCAGTATTCCCCTGGGTGTCTGCAGAGATGGTGCAGGACAGGTGAAGCCCATGGGAGCGAAGGAGGATTTCAGTATTTGCTGTTTGAGCTCTGAGTGTTGGTTTGTGTTGTTACAACCCACAGGTTTGGTGCAGAGGTCCTGGGTCCCTTTCCCACACCCCAACTAGGCAGAGGTGGGGTGAGTAGCGCTGTTTCCGATGGATTTTGTTTTAGGAGGAAATAAGGAGCAAGTTGTAAGCGGGTTTGGGAAATACGGTGTTTACCAACATCTCTTGCCTGCTCATGTCTGTTGGGAGAACAGTGTCTGCTTTGAGAAGTTCTGAAACAAGAGCATGGGCTTGTATTTTTAGATATTTTCCTGGCTCCACAACCGACCTCGGGCTGATTCGGTGGTTGGACGTGGCACATCTCGCAATTTGAGCAATCTCCAGACCTGCCTGCTCAAAGCGTGGTCACCAGGCTGGTGGCTGCTGTTTCTATAGCAGCAGCAATTCTCTTTCTTGGTAATCAAAGAGCCTGTTCAAAAACGAAACGGGTAGAATTTGTTTTGCTGTTGACTTAACGCCGCTGTTGCAGGTTCGGAGCATGTTTGGTTTGGTGGAGGAGAGTCGAGCCCTCCTTAAAGGTGGAGGGGTCTCTGAGAAACCAGTGTATCAAAGCAAGGTGTGGTGTGATCTGAACCACCAGCTCCCTGGGACAAATAAGAAAGCAAACAGGATCCGGAGGGAGCATCAGTCCGTGTTGTTCACCCCCTGCAGAGCTCTTCCTGCCAAGCTCATTCAGGTCTTCAAATTTTAGGAGATGCTCAAATTCAGCCTGCTATAAATAGCACTTTCTTGAAGGGACATGGATCTTAACTCTCCAGCCTTCGGGTCAGGGGACCAAGGTTCTCCTGCCTCTCCCTTCTGTCTTGAAACACAGTTGGGGTATTTGAAAATACCCCTGAAAATGAAATACTTGGGGAGCTCCAGCCGAGAGGTCTCCAGGGTGTGCTGTGTAAAATGAAAAATAGCCTGAGCTACTCCTCACTTGTGGGCCAGGGGGTCAGCGTGGCCAGTGTCCTCAGCTGGTGGGTGCTTGCCTGAGTTACCTGAAGTCTCCTATCACTGACAGGTTTGCAGCTGGAGAAGAGTTCCCTGGGGAATGCTGCTGTTCTAGGCTGAATGGAGGGATGGTGACACCTTGTAGGCACAGTCTGTACTGGTGGTGGAAGCTCAATGTTTCCTCATCTGACTCATTTGTTAGCTGAGCGATGGTGGTGTGCTGTGCTGGGCATCACGGGGCAAGAGTGATTCCTCCTCCTGCATGGGCAGGGAATGGGATGGAGGGCAAGGTCCATCAGGACCATGAGTTGCGGGTGAATGGGAGGAAGCAGCTCCAGCCTCTGGCCCGTCTCTAGCAGGTGATTGAAATCTCTGCTCAATGGCTCCAGTGTATTCTTGGCATTGTGCTGAAATTAAGGTTGCAGATGACACATGGGAGTTTGT